ATTTATTTTGTCATGTAGGGGTGGGTGGAGGTGGAAGAGAGCATATATGGGATACATGGTGCTATTTGTTTTTTTAATTTTTTAAATTAATGCAAAATGGTATTTTTAATCATTTTTGCTGATACAACTTGCAATGATTTTGCCATTTCTAATTAATACAGTTAAAGAGTATTGATCAGCCTTCACCAATTTGGCTCAGTGGATAGAGCATCAGCCTGTGGACTATAGGGTCCTGGGTTCAATTTTGGTCAAGGGCGCATACCTTGGTTGCAGCCTCCTCCTGGCTGGACCCTGGTCAGGGCAAATGCAGGCGGCAACCAATTGATGTGTTTCTCTCACATTGATATTTCTCTGTCTTTCCCTCTCTAAAAAAATCAATGGAAAAATATCCTCCAGTAAGGATTTAAAAAAAAAAGAGTATTGACCAGACATTGGAAACCTCAGAAGTTCAAACATTTGTTTCAAACAGCAAAATGAAATATGAATCAAAATTGCATGCATCTATCAATTCAGGAATGAGCACCAGGCACCATAAATTCCAGAGGCTCCTAGTCATGACACAGAAGAGAAATGTGGTATTTAAAGCGATGGAAATAGCATGACATTGTGCACAGATTACTAATATCAATGGTTTTAACATTTCTGTCTTTAATAGAGAATTTTATTACACATTAATAAAAGGTTTTATTTTATTTTTCTATTTTTAATTACACCTGCAAAGGTGATATGAAAATCATGTTGTTTCAAACATATAAAAAACAGATATTTGGAATTATTTTTAAAAATATCTAAAAAACATATAAATATGGCCTTCATACATGTATGCCTAATTTCCCTTTAGTTTAACTGAGAAAAGACAAGTCCAAAGACAAATCTTAATCTGATTTAGGTTCTGTTTAGGAGATTCAGTATGCCCTGTTGGAAATAGAAAGCTTCATAAATGCACTAGAGGCCCAGTACACGAAATGCATGCACCAGAAGGGTGCCCAGGCTTGGCCAGCAATCAGGGCCAATCTGTGAGCAACAGGCGGGGTGATCGGAAGGCATCCCGCGGGCACCAACCTTGGCCGGCCTGGCCCCGCCCACTCACCAGCTCCACCCCCATCACTGCCGCCACCAGTAGCCTCCCTCTGCAGGGTGACCAGCAAGGTGATTGGGGGGCCCCCGCTTGCACCTGTCTTAGCTGGCTGGGGGCAGCTCCTGAATTGAGCGTCTACTCCCTAGTGGTCAGTGCACATCATAGTGACCAGTCATTCTGCCGTTTGGTCAATTTGCATATTAGGCTTTTATTATATAGGATAATAAGGCATTTCTCTATACACCTCTACAGGGTCAGAGACTACTATTTATTTTCTTGACAAGTGGATATATCAAGAAATTCAAAGGCTACACCTTGGGCATATGTCCTGACCAGGAATCAAACTGTGACCTCCTGGTTCATGGGTCAGCTCAACCACTAAGCAACACTGGCCAGTCATCTCTACTATTTTTAAATTTGGGAAGCTTATTAAAAGTTTTAAATCTTTTTTTAAAATATTTTGTTGGCCTAATTTATACCCTAGCCTCATTTTCTATATTTTGGTTCTTTTATTGCACTTTCCTATTTTTTGTTGACTTGGGGGATCCTAGGAAAAATATCACAGAAAATAATTTAATTTATAAATTTAAGATAATTTCTAAATCTAGAATGACAGGTGATTTAGAAAAGCAGCTTGTTTGACATAATACAAGAAACTGTGAAATTCTTAGGGATGATTATTGGTTATTAAATTAGCACAATGTGTTTTCTTTTCAACGTATGCTTTACCCTACAATGTGCCTTCTGTAATGCAAGGATATTTCCATACTCTAGTAAAAATTCTCACTGTTAACTGTTTGTCCTTGTTAATATAAAAACCTTATCCTACAAACGAGTAAAACCACATGGATCTTAGCTTTTTCGACTGACTTATTTTGCATATGTGGGATATAAAACTGAAACTCATAGACAAAGATTTAAACAGTATGGTGGTTACCAGAGAGAAGAGGTTAGGGGAACGGTAAAGGATAAAGGAGGCCAAATATATGGTGACAGAAGATAATGCGACTTTGGGTGGTCGTGGTCGGCACACAATACAATATACAGATCATATATCATAGAAATGTATACTTGAAACCTATATAATCTTATTAACCAGTGCTACCCCAATACATTTAATAAGTAAATAAATAAAACAAAAATATTATTCTTTTTTTTCCTTTATTGTGTGTGTTAGAATCTAGTGATGTAATTTTGTTTATGGTTCTTTGTTGTTTTTTTCAGATTTTTTAAATAAAAAATCCAAAGAGAAATAAGTACTTTCACACCAAAGTAAATTGGTTGCAGAAAAAAAAAAGAAAATTTAGCTCTCATAGTTATTGTGTCTAACCTCATTGGATATGAGAATAGATATTTAAATATGTCCATAAGCTGACTTGTTAAAAAACATAAAACATTATCTTGAACAATACTTATAACATAAACATAATTAATGACCATCCCACCCTTTTCAATGACAGAAATACATTTGGTTTTTCATAAAAATAACTTCAAGTAACCTTTAAGTTTTTTAATTTTAAGTTAAAAATATATAATTTTGTTTCTCTAGAAAGAAATAATAGCTATTTAGCATCAATATTCCTTTCCTATAAGGTAATTTACAAATAAAATATTTCTAAGAGTTTTTTACAAAGATGCAAGTGAAGCAGATCAATATACTGTTTAATTCTTTTTAAAAGTCACAAAATATTTATCATTTAAAAGCTAGCAGCTAAATCTAAAATAGTGATTATATTTTCAAGAGACTAATCAGTGCTTAATAAGAGATACTGTTGGTTGCCAATGAAAGAAATATTACAGATAAATTAAATTTTAGATTGTCTATTTTTTCACCAAAATTGCATTTTCTAGAATTTTATAATAGTAAAATAATAAAAATAACTTTAAATATTTGTTAAATTTTTACCTAGTGATGGGCAGTAAGTGCTAGAAGTGTTAAATAGCCCATTCACAACAATCTTTTCATAACCCATGACCCAGTTTGTGGTGGTGGTTGTTTTATAACTGTCCCTGTTTTAACAAGGAGGCATCCCAGCCTTAAGTGATGGAACCAGGATTTTCTGACACCACATCCAGTGCATTTAAGTACAAAGCCAGATTTCATACTTTAAAAAATGAAATGGGGATGTATATAATGGACCAGATAAATCATCATTGATCTGTAAGATTTATTGCTTACGAATGACTACTTGAAAGCAGGAAGGTCATAGAGTGAATATATCCACTGGAGCAAAAGCCCCATTGAACATGTATTTTCAAGTATTCTCTTTTGAGCTTTAGTTGTTGAATCAGGTGCAGTACAGCCAAAATAACTACCAATAAAGTGAATGTTGATAAGAGACTTAGTCATTCTGCACAAAAATATACTAGCATTCAAAAGGTGTGACGTATTAAAGATCGACCCAGGAGGTAAATTCAAAGTTAGAATAATTATGTTGATTCTTTTGGATACAAATGTCTTTGAGTCATTATTAAAATGTTTGACCTAATTTTTAAAATCGTACTTAGAAAAACATTGTTTTTCATGTAATTATTCAGAAGTGGTTTTCTCAAACCTCAAATTCATATCTGTTTCTGTATCTTTCACTCGTGTCCAACATCAGTTACTTAGTAAGCATGACATATGATCTGGGCAATAAATTTCTTTACCATCATTAAGAAGGAAATTATAATTTTATAATGTTATGCAAACAAATTTGAATATAATCATATTAAGAATCATTTTGGACAATTCTATAAAATTGTCGTATATAACCCTCTTTTTTCCCCTTGGATAACACAATATCACCAATTTATTCTAGTTTCTTCCCACTGTGCTTATTTTCCTATCTATATGGTTATAGTTGTGTAGTTACCCTCGTATTCAATCACAGACTTGCAACACTAGGTTTATTTTTGCTATACTCATCCCTTTGCCATTTCTACTTTGTCAGTTAGCATATTCCATCCCATTTTCAATCACCTTTTTCGTGGATACTCTCGGTGTAGCTTCTGAGATTTCTTGCAAATATATGCCAACGAAGAGTGGCTCCCATCATGCCCTACGTTCAGAAAGGTCATAAGTACCATAACTCTGTTAACGTTTGCCTCTAGTCTAATATGATCTGTTAAAATATTAACTACAAAAATACAAGTACACATTTATTCCAAAAGAATGATTTTTAAAATATTCATGCACAGATATTTTTAAAAGTGTTCTCTGTCAACGCAAAGTGCTTGGAGCCATCATTTGCAAACTTAAATCTTAACACTAAAATAATTCTATAAAGAACATTTATTTAACACTTTTTTACAGGAGTTTTGACTACATTTTCCTTTTTAAAAAGTGATGCTCTATTAATTACTATGACTTTCTGATAGAGTACAGCTACAGATATGATAATACTCATTATCTTTCCCACAGGGAATCAAGAAGGCTTTTGGAGAAGAGAGTTACTTAAGAGTTTTTAATCTAAAATAAATTGGTAAAAAGTAGTTCAAATCACTACCATGTCAGTTGCTTAAAACATTGTTCAAAAACCAGAGACTACCTCTCAACAGCCATGACACTGAACTCTTCTACAGACTATCCCTTTTTTTTCTTTTTTTTAAAATATATTTTTTATTGATTTCAGAAAGAGAGGAAGCGAGTGGGAGAAAGAGCTAGAAACATCAATGATGAGAGAGAATCATTGATTGGCTGCCTCCTGCACACCCCACATTGGGGATTGAGCCCACAACCTGGGCATGTGCCCGGACCAGGAATTGAACCATGACCACTTGGTTCATAGGTCAATGCTCAACCACTGAGCCAAGCTGGCTGGATTATCCCTTCTTTCTTGTTTTTAGTTGACTATTTGTCCAATAAAATTTATTTTTGAAGTAACTTTCTAATCTTTTCTAGTGTGAACTTTAATAAAATTCTTCTTATTATTTTTTCAAGACACACTTTTTAATGGCCTTGGGCTTGGAGCAGTCATTGGCCTGGGAGTTGCCGCACTCTTGCTCATCCTTGTGGTAACAGATGTCAGCTGCTTCTTTATTCGACAATGTGGGTTATTAATGTGCATCACCAGGAGAATGTGTGGGAAGAAAAGTGGCTCCAGTGGCAAAAGTAAAGAACTGGAAGAAGGAAAAGCTGCCTACCTGTGAGTATCAGACACCTGCATCACAGCACATTAAAGGAATGGCAAGGTCAAGCTGGAGTGCTTTATTCAGGGCTTTGTTCTTTCAGCATAGGAGAGTTTAACTATAAAACTATTGGGCACCAATCTGGCTTCTTTCTGGATCTTAAATCTATATGATTTTAAATATAACATCTTAGAGCCAAATGACTTTGCAAACAGACTACTGTATTAAAATATAAACCTGCCCTGGTGCAGGCTTGATCCCCAGTAGGGGGCATGCAGGAGGCAGCAAATCAATGATTCTCTCTCATTGTTGATGTTTCTATCTCTCCCTCCCGCTCCCTTCCTCTCTGAAATCAATACAAAAATATATATTGAAAAATAAATAAACCTTAAAATGGAATCCATGGTAAAAAATTACTGTCAAGATTTAAATTTAAAAAAAAAAAGTTTGATTGATTGATTTGAGATCCAGAAAGAGAGAGTGGGAAATATCGATTTGTTGTTCCACTTATTTATGCATTCATCGTGCCCTGTATGGGTAGTGAAACTGCAATCTTGTATGTGCCCTGAATGGGTATCGAAACTGCAACCTTGAAATATCAGGATGACACTCTAACCAACTGAACTACCTGGCCAGGGTGTCATGAATTAAATATTGAGAGGTAGATAAACAAGTAGGTAGGTAGGTAGATAGATAGATAGATAGATAGATAGATAGATAGATAGACAGATAGATATAGGGAATCATACAATTATATTTGGTTACGCTTTTTCCCACCATTTCTCAGTTTATATTGAATAAAAAACAGACATCAACAGTAATCTGAGTTAAAAACTAAGTTAAACTGAGTTAACATAAATTGTACCAATGCCTACAATTTTAAGAAGTGACTACATACAAGTTTCAAGATTGCCTACATAGAAAATGTATGCTCTATGCAATGCATTATTACACATTCTGAATTTACTCCTCCAAATTATAATTAAAAGATGACTATATATTAGAATTTGGAGTTCTCTGTGGCATTTCATTTATTTAGAAAAAATATGAATTCTGAGAAAATATGCAGAGCTGAATTTTATAGAAAATGCCATGTAAGAGTAATTAAGAGGTTTTAATACTTATTTCTGCTTTGTGGTTTTTAGATAAATTTGTATCAAAACTCAAAATATAACAGTAATTCATTCATTTTTATTATTGAGTCCTTTATGTTGGTTTTTCTATGCATACATTTAGGCATATATGGTTTCATACATTATGGTCTAGGCTTAGGGATATAGAAAAACTCATTATGCATGGCTATATCATTTTTTATCTCCATGCCTATTTCAGTATTCCTAGGTAATTTGTCTGTAACCATTTCCCATGGATACACTGTCTAGATTTTTTTCACTTCAAGAGATGCTAAATTAGAAAGCTTACATTTTCAATTCAAATAAAATAGATTCAATTTGCAATCAAAATGCCACCTGCTTAATTGTTGGACACAGAACATAGCAAAGAACAAACAGTAATTAGGCTCTATTTCACATTTGAATTGGATATTAATGTGTGTTTTATAGTGGGATCAATTCTCCAGTATCTTTTGCTTTCTTCATAAGAACATGCTGTGCTTTTACAATGTCTTATTAACTAAATAAGTATCACCAAACTTAGTTTTAGTTTTCTTTTTACATGTTGAGGAAATCATATATTACATAATTATACATATTTACATAAGATATATACAAATATAACCCATGATGCTTCATTTTTTACAATACATGGGTAAGATTTGTTTTCTTCTTCTTCTTTTTTTTTTGTAGGAAAGATGGATCAAAAGAGCCAATAGTGGAGATGAGAACAGAGGATGAAAGAATTACTAATCATGAAGATGGAAGCCCAGTAAATGAGCCAAATGAAACCACACCACTAACAGAACCTGAGTATGTAGATTGAAATGCTTAATGATTTTTGGATAAGTATTTGTAAATTTATAACATGGTATTATTTTTTAGTAAATATTTACAAATGTGAAAAATTGTTGTTTTTCTATGAAACTTCATGTGAATGTCTAAAATCCATTTCTTCTTCACAAATTTCATATGAAATAGTTGTATCAATGTCAGGGGAAATGTACTATTGATACATATGCTTATAGTTTTATATAAGAATGTCAAAAAAGACATTTTTTTGCACTAACCTCACTCTCTAAGAAAGTTATGCTTTGAAAATGTGATTGATTTTACTGAAATAAATACGTGTCTGGAAATTAGTCATTGTTTTGAATATAAATATGATAGTTTATAATAGCAATAAATAGTGTGACATATACAGAAGACTCTTTTAAAAAGAATATTTGTAAAGAGCAGGAAGAAATACTGTTAATATTAATATAGTAAATGGTGCTTGGTCTCTATTCAAGATTATGTTCTTTACTTCTTTTTGCATCCATCATAAATCCACTAAACCCATAGCAGGTATTTTAACTGAACCTTTAAAGATTATGAACATGAGTCTAGGTTCATGTACATAAAAATTAAAATGATTCAAACCAAAGGCAGTATTAAGATGTAACAAGAGTAACATTTTATAACAAAACCATGACTGTCATACTATTCTTGAAATACTGCTCACCAAAATGACTCTTAAATTTCATTGTTTTACAAAACAAAAATTCCTTTTTCTTTACCAGGTAACATTCCCTTGCAGAAAAACTTGATTTAGGCTTCTCATCCTAAATCAAATTCTGAGTGTTGTCAGAGCTGATGAAAACATTTTGTTTCAGAAATCCCCTCTATCTGGTCTCAAGGGATTGTAATGAGTAATATATTAGCAAATACAATGTATTATTCTGTAGTTAAATTTTTCATATGAATAATCAGGATGTTTTTAGTGATTGTATTTAGAAGTATTACATTCTGATTTGAAGTTAACTCTAGTAGAAGCAGCGGGCACAAAGTGAGTTCGATTGTCTCTTCTTCAAACGTTATAAATCTTTTCAATGAAGCAAAATATTTCCCCAAAAACAAATTCCTGTGTATTCATTATCACAATATTATATGGATGGGCATGAAAATGAGTTAAGAAAATACCCTTGCATATGACAGACATATATTTTAAAATAATCCAGCAAACAGAAACAAAAACAAAAATATGATTTAATAACTACTCTCAGACTCAATCATAGAAAAAATACTCAACAAAAAAATGTATATCGTTAAGAGTAATCTTTTTAAAAATTACCATAAATATAAGTAGTAGATCTTTATATATGCAAAAATACACCATTCAAGAATTAGTTGAAAACTCTGGTTAATTACAAACTCAATAACATAGTTCTTTGAATTAGAGATATATTAAGCCTATCCTAACTTCCATGGAAGCTCTAAATTTCTCTATGTTTTGATGCTAAAGTAACCCCTTGTTTTTACAATATTTTATTGTCAATGTTTTCAGTACTTGGGGATGGGAGAAAAGAAGAACTGTGACTGCACTGTTTATAATGTACCTGGTACAAAGTAGATGCTACTTCATTTCCAGAAATAGATCTTACTAGATTTTGCCTATGAATTATTTTTGACCGATTAGTTTTCACATGGTAGCTTTTATCTTCAGAATGAAATGGATTATCTATTCATTCCAAAATATAAAATAATTGCAAATACATCCCAGAGGAACTATTATAGTAGCTTTCACTCTCCCATAAATCAGTGAATTTAAAGTCATAACAGTGAATTGGAATTCTATTTGTAACTTAATTCTTTAGATGTAGAAAAATATTTTGGGAAGAAAAATTACTCCCAAAGCTATATACACAAAATGTAATAGTAAACCACTGAATTTAAGAGAAACATGCAAATTAACTGTCCCTCCGCTACACTCAAGCCATGCCCAAAGCCACGCCCACCAGCCCATCAGGAGTAAGTATGCAAATTAGCCCAACTAAGATGGCGGCAGCCACAGAGCTGGAGTGAGCAGGAGGCCTGGGTTGCCCCCGGCGATGGAGGAAGCCAAGCTTTCTGCCTGCCCTGGCTGGCCCTCGGCTCCGCTCAAAGATACAAAGTTTCAACTATAGAAGATAAATAAATCCCAGATAAAAAAGGAGAGGTTGGGAGCTTGGGTTGCCAGAGGGTGTGGCCAGTCTGAAAACGGCCCTTAGACCCTCACCCAGGCTGGTCAGGCACCCCAGTGGGGACCCCCACCCTGAAGGGCTGTGGCTAGCCTGCAAACAGCCATCACCCCCTCACCCAGACTGGCCACACCCCCATGGGGTAAGGGTTCCTGCTGGGGGGCTTGGCCAGCCTGCAAACAGCCATCAGCCCCTCACCCAGGCTGGCAAGGCACTCCAGAAGGACCCCCACCCTGATCCGAGACACCCTTCAGGGCAAAACAGCCGGCCCCCACCCATGCACCAGGCCTCTATCCTATATAATAAAAGGGTGATATGCAAACTGACTCTAACAGCAGAACGACTGGAAATGACTGGTCACTATGACACACACTGACCACCAGGGGGCAGACGCTCAATGCAGGAGCTGCCCCCTGGTGGTCAGTGCGCTCCCACAGGGGGAGCTCTGCTCAGCCACAAGCCAGGCTGCCAGCTGCCAGCACAGCGGTGGTGGCGGGAGCCTCTCCCGCTTCCTCAGCAGCACTAAGGATGTCCGACTGCAGCTTAGGCCTGGTCCCCGCTGGCAAGTGGACATCCCCCAAGGGCTCCCAGGCTGCCAGAGGGATGTCTGACTGCCAGCTTAGGCCTCATCCCCCAGGGAGTGGGTTTAAGCCAGTAGGTGGACATCCCCTGAGGGGTCCCTAACTGCGAGAGGGCTCAGGCTGGGCTGAGGGACCCCCCCCACCATGTGCACAAATTTTTGTGCACCGGGCCTCTAATATATAGATAGATATAGATATAGATAGATAGAGATATAGATAGATAGAGATAGAGATAGATAGAGATAGATATAGAGATAGAGATAGAGATAGAGATAGAGATAGAGATAGAGATAGAGATAGAGATATATTTAATTACTGGTTACATTCAATATTATTTTGTATTAGTTTCAGATGTACAATATAGTGGTTGGAAAATTATGTACTTTATGGAGTACTAAATCATTCTGTGTGAACTTTAACACTGAGAAAATTGATAAATATGTTAATGTTGTAAAAAAGTTTGTTATTGCTTCATAGGTAACAATTGGAAACAACTCTGCAAAAAGTTTATAAATGACACACAAATAAAAATAAAATAATAATAGTGAATAGAGATCAAGTAAAGAAAACAGTAAATATAAAAAAGTAAGAAAGCCCTGAAATATATTTATTTGCATTAAGTTGCGAAGAATATTGCCTATTCATCCAGTTTCTGAAATTAATGTAACAGAATATGGCTGCAACTATTGATTGTTTTTACTAGAAAAACTTTTAAGTCCTAGTAAATCATCTAGTGGACATATGAAAATGTTTTGACTTTTTTACATTCCAAAACACTTAATTATATTTTAATATTATCAACTCATTATCAAATTTAAGCCTCCCTATAATGAATGATTTGGTGCATATAAATTTACAAATATATTATTTCCTTTATCATTGTTCATCACACCACATTTTTACGGTGGACAATATTGCTTCATTCTCTTTTAGATTATATTTTTTCAATTTAATAATACTTTAACAAGATCTCATCATTTTATTCTAGTAATTGTAACATATTTCCTTCTACAAAACAGCAACTTAAATGTTAAGGCATCCTACTTAAAGTGCCTCAACACATGAAGTTTATTTTTTCTACATTTTCTTCCAGAAAACTGCCTTTAAAAGAAGAGAATGGGAAAGAAGTCCTAAATCCAGAAACTATAGAAATTAAGGTTTCTAATGACATCCAATCAAAAGAAGACGACAGCAAAGCATAACACCGAGCTTGCAGAGGCGGGAACAATGCTACAAAGAGCATTTGGATTGCAGTGACCCTATGACCAAAACTATTCCATTGACCTTAATTTCTTGGGAAACTTCTAGCTTGGAATAGCTTGTACACATATACATATGATCAAATACTCCTGCCCATGGTCCATTTCCTTCGTTGTTGTTGTTGTTGTTGTTGTTATTGTTGTTGTTTATTTTGTTAAGAAATTCTATATAGAGACCTGACTGGCACCAACTCTTGGGTATCAATTTGACTCTATGATTGAAGAAATGCAATTATTAGATGGCTAACGTGCTCTACTAGTACTTCTTCAGAACTATATCTCATACCACAACCTCTCCAAAAAATAGGAGTTTAAACAAAACAAACAAAAAACTTTGTGAGCTAGTTGTAAGAGAACCCTGCATGTTTTCAATCCTATATTGGGCAAATAGATTATTAAAGTGGATTTCAGTTGAAGATGAAAACACTTAATAAAGGTTACACTTTTTAGGAGAATTTCAGGGAACCCGGGCTTGAATAAGCCAGCTATCTTTAGCAGATATTAGAAATGGAGAGAGACTTTGGAAAACTGTTTTTAAGTTACAGTTATAGACTGACGTGCCAGATCAAAATTGTTACCCACTTGAATGAATATTAGTTGTATGTAAAATTAGAGTAGAAAGATTCCGTAAATCTCTTTCTATATGCCATATTCACTCACAGTGGATTACACATACACACACACACACACACACACACACACAAATGTATTGCAAGTGAAAATAATATTGACTTCTGCCCTCAGCTTCAAGTAATAAAGTAAATTGAAATGGGAATAATATCAATGTTGTCTTGATATATTTATAAAGATGTGATTATCTTTTACTTTTAAATAAATTTAACAGAAAACAGGTCTTTAGCATTTCAATACTTTAAACCATATCTACAGATACATTTACCCCCATTGTTTTAGATAATCTTTGTTTAAAAATTCATTTTTAAGGGTTATAGGTCAATCATAAATGTAATTGGCTAATGGAAGTTAAAATCCTTAGTTTGGTTGAATTAGGAGAAGTTAAACATTTAAACATGCCATGAAAGTGTCAGTGCTAAACAATTGAATTACTACCATCTTTTTATTCTGGATGTTGTAGCTAGAAGTCATTTTAAGATTTTGATAAACAACTTTGGTTGAAGAAATCCCTAAACTATACAACACAAACTTTCTAATATTTCTCAGTCAGGCCTATATCTGAATAAAATACTTATCAACTTCCAAGCTATGCAAGCTCCCAGAGGTAAAAGACTGAAACATAAATTTCAGTTATATGTAAGGTAAGAGGGAAAAAGTATTTATAACTAGAGGCCCGATGCACGAAATTCGTGCAAGAGTAGGCCTTCCTTCCCCCGGCTGCCGAATCCAGCTTCCCTCTGGCACCAGGGACCCGGGCTTCCCTCTCAGCCCCGGCTTCATCAGGAAGGTCGTCCAGAAGGATGTCTGGTCCAATTAGCATATTATGCTTTTATTATTATAGATTATAAATATACATACCATTGGGAGCAGGTTTTAGATTATTTCTTACCCTAGAGAGCCAAAGTTTTCTTTGGGCTCCATCATATTCATAATCTTTAGTATTCCAGGGGGATCATGGCTCAAATATTGACTGGTTGGGGGATGCATGCCATTCTTTACTGTTGATAAGACATTGGAGGAAAGTTCTAACACTGCAGAGCGACCTGCTTTAGGGTGCCTCTATTGAAATAACCTGATGGATATTAAATGTAATGTTAATGCCACTTATGGACACTTTTATATACACAAAGTGCTGAAAACTATCAGCCAGGGAGAGACAGCAACCAATTTTCCAAAATGTTGGTTATCAGCAAGACAGGATCTGCCCATCTGCACGTTCAGGTACTAAATCGCCAGTGTCACCTCCCTAATGTACAGGTTACGATGCAGGAATCTCTCCTTGCTGTCCTTTCTGGCATATTCTGAAGAAAAAGAAAAGACTTCCGTGCCTACCTAAGAACTTTAGTAGGAATTATCCAACTGGTCTTTTTGCTGGATTTGTTGCTGTTTAAATTATGCTTCCGCTTATCATCCTTTTGCTTTATTTTACTGTTTGTTCACCCTTTTGTATCGATGTGCTAAAACCAGTCAACATACTTGTGCAAGGTAAATGGGCTTAGTAAAATGTCAAGGAAGCAATAGCCATGAATGCTAATTCTTCCTGGATAGGGCTACCCGATTTTAAGCTAATGATGGTGAAAGAATTAGGAAAACTTAGAAAGCATCTTAGCATGTTTACTACTGTTATATCCGTGCTATACTTCAAGACCAGAGAAATCATAATAAAGAACAAATATTGTTGTGGGCTTTTTTTTTTTTTTTGAAAGTTCGGTTTGAAAGTTCAAACCAAACAGTTTGAAAGTTCGGTTCTCTCTTTTCTTTGGACTTTCCTTGTAAAGCAACTTACCTAAATGTTACTTTTATATATATTTGCTGTTGAGTTTCTTGCCACTAATGTGGAGTGAGGATCGGAGTTTAAGAGGTCATTGGGAACTAATCATAGACTTTGTTTCAAGTGCACTGTTTCAATGGTCTGAGTGGTCCTTATCTCTTGTCCTTGAAATGTATGCCCTGCAGGAGCAAGGCAATACTGTGATAAACTTTTTTTTTTAACATTTTTATGTAATGCTCCAAATTACTCTATTTGTAAAAGTTTCCATCTAAGAGATGGATTTTAGTAAATTGTAAAGTATGAACAGAGTTGAAGTCATGTTTCCTGTTTTTCATTCTTATTCTAGACTAAACATATCCATGTAACTGAAAAAATGTTATTTTTACTATCAGAGACTACTCTTAAGTGTTAGTATCAAATGTCAAAAGAGTTGACTGATTATGTTAAATAATCAGGACCTGTGGTACTTTAAACAAAGAAGCAAAGATATCACTAAAAAGATATTGGTATACAGGTTATGTGCAATTAGGCAATGACAATCTATATTCAACAACATAAGAGGAAACAATAATGTCAGCATTTTAGCACATATATTGTTTTTAAAACTGGCACAAAGTAATGTGTTAATGTATTTTACAATAATTTGCAGAGAAAGTTAATTAAGAGTTGTAATTTCTAAAGATTTATTTGTTATTTTTATGCATCAACAGATTACCATTCTATTGATACTAATGTCTAACATTAATGTAATGCTGTTCAAGTTTTCCTTTATTTTTAATACTAATACTTATAGAAGCATTTTCAAAGACTATTTCATCCAGGAAAGTTTACATGAGTCTTAGTCTTTGAATTAAACATTTATATAAATAGAAGGATTTTATTAATCAATTATTTATTTGAGTGCCAATAATTAATTATAATTTTATAATCATTCCTTTATTTTATGCTTCTTATTTTAAATAATTAAAATGTATTTGTGCCTTTAGATTAGCATGACAGTCTGCTTTTTAAAAGAAAAAACACAACTGCAATTTTTATTGACATATTTTGCTCCTATCGGTGACAATTGAATGATACCATTTTAATTACATTCAGTGAATAAGTGCAGTTCAAACTGCTTTACCCTGAATACAAAATCTAAATATAACAAATTATACTGTACTATTTCCACTTATGACAAAAAGTTCTTTCAATGCACAAAAAATATACTTCATTTGTCCTGCATTGTTCTAAACGATAATATATTCTAGATATTGTTGAAATTGAGTATTACCAGTTGTAAAACAAAGCAACAGATGACTTTTTAAAATAGGGCACATTATTATGGTGTCACTTGGTTCAACATTATTCCTGTTATATATTGATTTGGGAGCACAAATCATTCTTTATTGTTGATAAGATAATCACTGGTGAAAATATCTAAACTGAAGTGGTAAAAAGAATAATCTCCATTCTTAATTTTAAAAATATTAGAATAATATATTGCAATTATTTATTAAAATTGCAATGTTCTTTTTCATGGAGAATAATCTAAACACTCAATTTCAATTCATATAAAGATATTTTTTATAAGCATATCCAGAGTGCTTATTCAACAAACTTATGAGTAGGGGAAGATTTTTTTAATGAGATTGTTTGCATTATTTATCTTTAGAGATAAAAGATTTGCATTCTATTAACCCTTTGAAGCATTATTACAATTTCTCTCACATTGAAATTGCATATGGATGTATTAGCATATGCTAAAATTAAACTGTGGAAGGTCACAGAAACGAAATACTTAAATCCTAAAAAAACATTTCAAGAAAGTATTCAACTCTTGGGCTTAATAATATTCTGAGATGAAATAAATATATGTGTAAATGAGAAAGTTATAAAAGGGCCTATATATAATAGTTGCTGAACAAATATAATTTCCTTCCAGGTCCCTTCTCTTCTTTTTTTAAAAATTTCATTTACCCATATAAGTGCAGCTATTTTACAGCATTATACAGGAATATTAATTGATTAATTATTCCCCCCATACTTTTATATTCTATATATAACATTTAATATTCTTAGAAAAATAGTTCGTTATTCACTATACAATTTTATCAATGGCTTAAAAACATTAGTTGGTACCTTCTTTTTAATTTTTAAAAATAATTTTTAGGATTTAGGACACACGATGTTTATAAGTTTTATAAGTATTAACATAAAATCTTCCCATATACATTTAATATTTCCAATTTTTTTTCTGAAATGAAAATATCTTTTTGCATCTGCTTTTAGCTTCCCTTAGAAAAGAATTAGCAAAACACTGACTGTTGGAGCATTTTAAATCACAACCAGGCATAGAAAAATAGAGGAACTAAGAACCCCAGAGAGTGCAGACTGAACTCCTACCTTATGAAGAGGTCAGGACTTAGCGTGAGAAGAGCGTGAGCAGGGACTAGGAACATTGCTTAGTTAACAATGAAAGCCAACGCTCCTGATGCAAAGGAGAAAACGAAGTGAAATCCAAAGGAGAAAGTTAACATTAGAACCTATGATTCCATTTTGCAAATAGGATTTTTTTTTTAGCAAACAACATGCATTATATAAAATAAATGGTAATGTTGAGAACAAACATATTTGTTTCAATTCTTAAAGGAATGTTCATGGTTTTGCATTTGCCTCTAAACTCTGTTAGGAATACGTGAACTTCTTAGAAATAAAAGTTTCAAACAACTTTTTTTTTTATGGTATGTGAATTCTATGCTGTGTTCAGTATGCATTAAAACATAGTGTTATTTTCTTTAACTTATATATTCCATTCAAATTCTATATTCTTACGTTAGTTAGCTACCACAAAGTTTTCTTATTGTTTCAATATAATATGTCCCTCTGAAATGCTGTATATATATGTCTAAACTGTAAAAATTATAATGCAAATGTTGAAGTTTTGTATTTATGAGAGACATTGAAAGTATGGCTTACAGTAAGTATATCAAAATTGTCACTTCACCATTTGTATATTAATAGTAAATATAATTTTACTTTAATAAAGTGTTGCATTTTATGTTTATTTTGAATAATATCTTTGTGATGAGTGAGCTTATGACTTGATAAATACTTTTTTATTTTTTTATTTTTGCTAAAAGTATTACAAAGGGTATTACATAAGTGCCCTTTTTATCCCCCCCACCCTTGACAAACCCCTGCCCTCCCTTACCCCCCAGTGTCTTATGTCCATTAGTTATGCTTATATAGATGCATACAAGTCCTTCGGTTGATCTCTTACTCCCCTCCCTCCTGTCCCCCAACCCTCCCTGGCCTTCCCACTGCAGTTTGACAATCAGTTTGAGGCAGCTCTGCCTCTGTATCTATTATTGTTCAAAAGTTTGTAATGGTCTTT